ACAATATCTGAAAACAGTTGTTTCATATATTTTGTTCAGGTTTCTATCTGTTTACAGAGGAAGGGCAGGTTCATTGCCAGTTGCCCAATAATGGCTGTAAGTGAAAGCCTGCAGTCACATTTTAAGGAGGTCTGTGCTAGAACAGGAGGTTAAGTAGTCATTTTTAAACAGATGGCAAATGAACAGTAACTGTGGATAAGATTACCCAGGGAAGGTATAACAGTTAGGATTGGGCTCGTATATGAATAATACAAATCCAAAATAACAGTAATTTTAAAAAGAAATTTATTCCCTCTCATAAAGTAAAAAGTAAGCAGTTAAGAACCGATGGGGCAACTCTGTTCCACAAAGTCCTCCTGAACTCAATCTTTTCTCAACTCAGTGCTTCACCATCTTTCATGATATAAGAAGCTGTCCTCCCATCCATATTCCAGCAGAAATATGGGTAAAGGGACCAGTAACAGAAGAGGAAAGCACACACCAACTGTCTTTAAGGAAGGTTTCTGGATACTAACACACAACACCACTATTTATATCCCATTGGCCAGAACTTGCTTGTATGGCCAATATAGCAGTGTGGGAAACTAAAAAATATACTATTTATTCTGAATGACCATGTGCCAGTTAAAAATGATGTTGTGCTGGCAGCAGAGGAGGATGAATATCGGCTGTCTGATTGCTTGTGTAGACACTTGTTTCTCTGCCACAAGTGTATAAAAACAATAGAGGAGACCGGGAGCCCATAGCAGATAAGGGATTGCCTACACCCACTCTCTCTCGTGTGTTTCCTCTCATTCTCTCTTAAATCCTAATCAAGTGTTCACACTACAAGCCCACCAAACCTTCTTTTTGTTAAAGTTACCAATGACCTCCACCTAGCAAATTCCAAAAGCCAATTCTCCATTCTCATCTCACTTTATCTATTAGCACCATTCGACTTATTAGCCCTGTTGATATCACACTTTAAAAAAACTTTTTGAAAACTTTTTTTTTTTTTCCAAAAAATATGGCTTCCAAGCATCACACTCTCCTGGGTTTCCTCTTACTTTACAGTAACTCATGCTCAGTATTCTTTGATTTTTGCTCCTCTTCTTCCCAACTTGTAGACAGTAGGGCTCCCAGGGATCAATGCTTGGAGGTTTTTTTCTGTCGTAGTGACCTCACTGTTTCCCAAGTGATCTCATTCTGCTTCATGACTTTAAAACGTCTATATTCTTTCTACACCCAAATGTTTGTCTCCAACTCAGACCTTTTCCTGAATTATATATCATAACCTACAAATGTCTGCTTAATATCTCTCCTTGAATGAATAATGGCACCTGTTACTTTCTAATATACTATACAATATGCTTATTGTACTTATCGTCTCCACTAGAATGCAAAATCAAGTGGAAATCCAAGTGCATAGAACAGTGCCTGGCACATACTAAGCACACAGTGTTTTTTAAATGAATAAAAAGAAATAGGAGCTTGGGAAAATAAGAGCATTATTTCTCTGAAGCCAAGAGAGGAGGAAATTTTAAGACAGAATGAGTGGTTCGTAGTGCATAATACACTACTAAGTGTCCAGAAAAAATAGGACTGAAATTTTTTCCTTGCATTAAATAATTAGGAGGTCATGATGACCCTGGGAAGAGCAGATTTGATAAAAGTGTTAGGAACAAAACCAGATTGCATGGGGCTGAAAAGTGAGTTAATAGAGGTAGTAAGTACATTACTAATTTTTCATAACTTTGGAGGAGAAAAGGTAAAAACAGATTGAAAGACAAAGAATAGATTTTAAAGGATAGGGAAAATGTGGGCTTATTTTTTATGCCAAAGAGAATGTGAACAGTTTTGAGGGAGAAGTTGAGATCCATAAGATGGAAGAGACAATGGAGCAGTTCACTCATAGAAGCAGAAGAGATTTTGCTCAGTCCAGCGGTGGAAAAGTTGACCTTGAACAGTGTGGGAAACACATCGACCACTAAGATTGGAGAAAGGAAGCTTGTTGTGCCTGTGAGTAAGAGACTGTGACACTTTGGAGATCACTGCTAATGCCTCCTGGTGGGCAAGATCTTCTGGGTAATGTGGTGAGGGCAGGAAGAAAGGCTTCAACATTGGAAGAGAGATAAAGATAGAAGCAAATGTTTTAATTGTGCTTGAGGAGAGAGAGAGCTAGCCAAGAAAAAATAAAAGGGCTGTCAATTAAAAGGATTTTGGTGACTTTAACAAAGGGAAGTTCTCAAAGGGTTGTAAGGGCCAAAGCAAGACTGGAAGTTTAGCTAAATATGAAGACCACAATCACAGAATATGAGACCCTTAGAAATAAATAGAAATCATCTAGGGAAAAAAAAACAAATCACTTCATTTTACAGAAGCCAAAATCACAACAAATAACTCATCCATATCCCTAATCTCTCCTGTATCTTCAACCTCTCCCTCTTTACTAATAGTTCGCACTCAACCTCCAACCCTCTGGAGCCACTTGCTGCCTTGTAGCTGTCTTTTCCCCACCAACAGGAAGGAAAGTTTCAGGGATGTCTATACTTGTCATCTCTGTTATTTTACCTCCCATGATCTCTCAACCCATGCCAACCAGATTTCAGGGCCCATCACTCCACAAAAAATGACCTTGCTAACCTCCCCAAACATCATAGTTTGCAGAGGAACAGAAACAAGTTTTAGTTAAAGTAGTGAGGGAGTGGAGAAAAACTCACCTGCCCCACTGTCTGTACAAGTACAGTTTGGACAGAGCTGCTCGTGCTGAAGATGAGCGAGAAGGTGACAGATTCTATGCAAGCACACACAGGGAAAAGAAGTCAGCAGAAGAACCCGTTTGAATAGAAAACATAGCTCAAGAAAAAGAAAAAAATTGCTCTGTGCCATAGAAGAATTTTAAGAGAACTACCTTAGTAAGGCAAGACCTCAAAGTTGCAAAGATAAAACAACAGAATTACGGGAAAAGAAAGACGGCAAAGCTGAGGAAATGAGATCAAAACAACAAGATTTCTGAACTTATAAATTAGAAGCAATTATATTTGAGAGTTGAACTATAGACACAGAGGAAAGACCTGTCATGATTTCAGAGAATGCAGAGGAAAAACAAATAAAAGATGTGGGAATTAGGGGCCGGCCCATGGCTCACTTGGGAGAGTGCGGTGCTGACAACACCAAGGCCACAGGTTCGGATCCCTCTATAGGGATGGCCAGTTAGCTCACTTGGGAGAGCGTGGTGCTGACAACACCAAGTCAAGGGTTAAGATCCCCTTACAGGTCATCTTTAAAAAAAAAAAAAAAAAAGATGTGCGAATTAGATAAAATAAGATATATGTGAAGAACCCAAAAGGACAATTGGTGTCTGTGAAAATAGATAACCCAACAAATAGAATGTAAGATATATTTAATTATACGAGAAATTTTTCCCAAAAGGAAATAACTGAACCTGTGCCTCAAAAGGCATGGTATACCAGGAAAAGTGACACAGAAAAGTTGACACACAAACATTGCCTGTTACAGTGTTTAATTTCAAAGATGAAGAAGGAATTCTTTCAAGATATAACTTAGGTAGAAAAATTTATTTACAAAGGGGAGGAAATTGGACTGTTCTTGGTCTTCTCAAAGCATCAATCAATATCAGGAGACATTCTCATGGCTACAAAAGACTGAAGATGAGAAGGTGTTTGCTGAGAACATAATATCTCTCCAAGGTGTTCTCCAAGAATAAAGGCAACAGGCAAAGTTTCTCAAACATGAAGGAACTCAGAGAATGAAGCATTCTTGAAAAAATTACTTAATCACAGGATTCAGCCACCCAAGGGAAGAAATAATAAAACTCCTGGTAGTTAGCATTGGGTTAATTTAAATAAAGAATGAACACTAAACAACCACGGGGGATATGATCACAGTCTGTTGATTTCCAAATAATTGGAAGGAGGAGATAGAAGAAACAAGATAGGAAAGGTACTCATTTCCCCACCTTTTTTCGCAGAGAATAATTAAATGCTGTCTAAGAACAAGGACGTGAAGTGAGTGACAGGGACCACTGGAAGACACTGGAAGGGACTGGAGATTACCTCTTATCTGATTGTTGTCAGGAGGAAATGTGGGTCCAGGTGCTTCTGATGAGTCGCCAGATCTAAAATCTTGATTGATGATTCTAGATGACAAGGAGCCACCAAAAACAACTAAGGAGGGGAGGGGCTGCTTGTTTTAATAAACCCCTATGCCTGCTGTGATACAAGCCACCAAGGTTTGAGAATTTGAAGACAGGTGGCAGGACAACTATTGGAGCACTGGAACAGCTGTCTAGCTGAGAGGTGAGGAGACGGTGGTGGACCAGCTGGATGGTGTAGATGTGGGTTAAGCGGAGGGAGAAGTCAAGGCAAACCCCCAGGCTACCCTACTCAGGTAGCCAGTGGTATTAGCAAATGAAACACAGAGCACATAGTGAGACAGATATGTGACTAAGAAAATGAGATAAAATGTTCATAATTGGGGGATACGGGTGGAAGGACACACACACACACACTGGGAGGGAGGGTAACATTCGATGTGAAACAATTTCAGGCTCACAAAATGTTTCAAGAATGGGGAAAAAAGAACAGTTTTCTATACCCTTCACCCACATTCTCCAATCACTAACACTTTATCACATGGTCTTGGTCACATGTCTGTCTATCATCGATCCAACTTGCTTTTTCATACATTTCAAAGTAAGTTGCTGACATTAGTGCATCTCACCCAAAATAATGCAAAATGCACACTGTTAACTAGAGTCACTATTTGTTTATATTGTTTTAAAGTAAAATGTACATAGCGTGAAATGCTTAAATCTTTAACACACTATTTGATGAGTTTGACAAATGCATAAACCTTTATCCAGATATAGAGTATTCCCATCACCCCAGAACATTCTCTCAAGTCTCTGCTGATCCTTGTCCCTACTCCACCTGGAAAAGCAGAGAGGCCTGGCCCTGTCTCTTCAGCCCCCAACTCTCACAGCATAGACTGGGGTGGGGTCAGGCCTCTCTGGACTGACTGCCCATCAGGGAGGCCTCAGCCAGCTGCTGCAGCAATGACAGGGTCCCATAGAGGGCACACAGGGGCATCTTGGCTTCTAGATCCCAGGTTGACTTGGGGCTGTTCACCTCCATCTTCAGGCCACACTCCTCCAGCAGGCCATAGGTGATGGCCAAACCCTCACCCTGCAGTGGGCTGAGGAGCTTGGGGTTGAGGGTGAAGGGAATGCTCCAGGGGTACTTGAAGCTGGTTTCTAGAATGCTCCTTACCTAGAAGAAGGATGGTCAGATTGTACAGACCAGACTTTGAGATCAGGAAGAGAAAACTTCTGTCCCAACAGTCAGGGGCCATGAAAGGGAATGGAAGGGGCAAGAGCTTTGGGGTCAAGGGGACCAGGAGTCACGTACTGCTCATGTCGTGTGATCAAGTTATTGGAAATCATCGAACATTGGTTTCTTGGCTACGAAGTGGTGATAATAAGCTTATCTTGCAGAAGAGTGGTATTTGGATTTCTATATGCATACGTACATGTGTATGTGTATGTCTTTACACACATACGTATTTATAGATACATATATATGGGGAGAGAAAATCAACAATTTGCCACTGGTAACTGTGTAGCTAGAGCAGGGCTGTTACTCACATCCCCTGAGCTTCCATAGACCTGTGTTCCTAAATGGCTATTGTAGACCTGTTGGGGCCCACTGCAGGGCTGCCATGGAAACTGATACTCCCCTGCCACCAGCAGGCAGACTCCCACCCAGTGGGCACTCTGCAGAGGGAGAACACAGCCAGGGACTTCCCAGTGGCCACACTGGGATCCTGTCTCCCCTCCCAGTGGAAACCTGTCTTTTCTCAGAATCGTTCTTCTTAACCCTGCTTCCCTTACCCTCTTCCCTGGACTGCTGTCTCCTGGGGATTTTTTTAAAAAATTATTTTATGTTTAAAAGTTTATTTTTAATTCTCAGTATACATTGTAATTGATTTTCGTGACCATTTACCCATTCCTTTCCTCCCTTCCCTCTGGCCCCTGGGGATTTCTCACCAGCTCCTGCTGATGGAGCAGGATCCTTTTTCCCATGGACAGGGCCAGCAGATCCTGTTGGGTGTCACTTAGCACTGCGGGAGGGGACATGTGGGGAAAGAACATGAGGGTCCAGAGTTTCGTCTCCCACCATGAATGAGGATACCTGTGAGAGGGGAACTCTGAGGCAGAAGAATAAACGTGTGAGGCTTGAAAGTCAAGGTCTCTGCCCTGGAAAGTCCTTCCTCTGCTCTTGGAATGCCTTCAGGTTGCTAAATAACATGGCGCAGAGGATGGGATTCTGAGGCTGGGGCTGGAAGCATCCATCTCCAATGATATACATGTCTGATGACCAAGGGCTGGTCACTCTCCGGGCTTCTGCATCACTTGGTGAAATACCACACTGAGCTCTCCTGACCCAGGAGAGAGGTGTGACGTGAGGATGAGAGATCACAATATTCAAAGGGCTTTGGAGAAGTGGCATCTAACTCAGGCCATGCAGGGGCTCTGGGGATCAACCTTGTGACTCTTCCACCCTTTCGCCAAATCATTCTTACCTATTAGGGCTTCCAGGAGGTAAAAAATGGGATACTTTTCATTAAAACATAGAGGTTTCAAGTCCTGTTGCAGTTTATTTAGGATGGTGCCACCAGGGCCATCCGAATGACCCAAAGAGTTCAATTTCAGCTATAGGAGATAGGTATTATTGTTAGTAATAATAACAATGTACAATCTGCCTATGTCTTCTGTAACTATAGTTGATAACCGTGGGGTGTGTACGGGCTCTCTACCTCCCCAGGGGATTCCAAGCAGCCTCAGTGTGGGGGGCTGCACCACCCAGCCCAGGTCACTGTGCCTGGGGCTAGAGTTCCCAGTCTTTCTCATTCCCCTGGCATCTCTTTCATTCCTCTTCCCCCTGGTACCTTGGTAGCCATATCTCCTAAACATTCCCGCTTTACAGCTTTGACCAGCCCTAGTCAGCCATGGGGCCCCATCATCATGTCCTTCATGTCCTGCAGAGCCCCTCTGTCTGTGAGCATAGCCAGGGTGGTATGACATCCTGAAAATCCTTTGAGAGCTCGGCCAGTGCCTCCATTTTCTGAGAAACCTCCTCTTATAATTTCTTAAAATCTGCTCTCAAGCCTCAACACCGACCAGAAAATGGTAACAATTCTTTGATTAGAACATCCCTGGGATAAGTCTTTCTCCAACAATATGAGCCAGGCCCATCCATCTCTTTTAGGTACCAAGCAAAAGCGTCTGTGCAGGTGGCATGTTGTCTGCAATTCTTCACCAAGTGCCTCTTCACCATATGGAAGCAAAGTAAAGAACATGATTGGTGCAGTTATAAAACTGCCTTCTTTAGTTTACCTTGTCGGGATGTTCCTAATCGCATAATCATGTGGATGCTTATGATTGTCTGGGATTCAGTTTCACTTCTGTCTAACTTAAGTATTTATCAGAAATGACCCAGGGTGGGTCTGAGTGTGGGGGAGTTTACAACTAATTGATCACAATCAATCACAGATTTCTGTGCTCCTTCTCCACTCCCAGTGCTTCACTTGACTTGCCTTAAAAAAAAAAAAAAAAAAGAGAAATGGTCCAGGTGACGTTTTGTTTATGTTTGCGGTGTAAGCAAGGTTAAGGCTAGTTCGAGGGCTAGTTGGTTTTGTTTGCTCAGGGATTTTTCAGCCCCGCTCTTTATTTTAGTTTTGCTCTAACACTGCCCAGGAGTCTCCTGTGCTCGCACTTCTCCCAATCCTGCCATCTTCCTGGATGGTTTCAAACTTATATAAAGAAATATACTGAGGCCTGAGACTAACATAAAACCAAAATTGAAGTGTTCAAGAGGAGAAAGAGCCCAATAGAGGGAGAGCCATAGAACGTGGTGTCCTGGGGTCCAGGGGGAATGGAGTTCCCAGTTAGTGACCTACACAGTTACTCACTGCAGGGTAAACTGCACTGGCTGAGGTCTGGGATTCTGTCTGTTAACCTCTGTACCTAGACGAGACTCTCTCCTGGATCAAACCTTAGACAGGTTCCTCTGAACCCTCTTCTCACCCTCTACCTCTGGGCTTCTGTGTTTATCACTATGTTACCCAGTTTTAGTAAAAATCCTGTCAAGTGGGTTTAGCCAGAGTCCCCACCCAGAATATCTGATCACGTTCCTCATTCTGCCGCCACCTCCCAGGTGATACTCGATCACCTTGGCTTGCCTGCAGCAAAACTTCTGTTAACAAAAGTTACCCTACCCTCTTATTAATTTTTCATCCACCCCTCTTTAATTTTCCATCCACGCACTTTCCACCCTGCTTCTTGGCAATAAATCCTCACTTTTCCTTGTATTCAGAACTGAGCTCAGTTTTATACCGAGATCTTTTCCCTTCTATTGCAATAGTTCCTGAATAAAATCTAATTTTGCTGCCATGTTAACCTGTCCAGCTCTGGTTTTCTTTGACAGTCCTCAGCACTGCAATCTAGACAATGTGTAGATAAAGCAGACCCAGAACCTGGAAACTGTGGCTGGCAGTAATTTACACTTGCTGACTAACTGACTCAGTGAGGAGAGAACTTCGAGAAGTGTAAATCGTTTTGCATAAAAAAGGGGTGAATAAATGTAGGAGAGAACAGAGTCCAAAAAGCAAAGTGTCTTAAACTTATAAGATCTTTACCAGAGAGGAGAAGTAGGAAAGGGGGAAGACAGAAAAGTGGGAGTGAATTAGAGGGGGGAAAGGGTCCCCGGGAGACCTGAGACTCACATGGAAACCTGTATAAAGTCTAACCTGAAAAGATAACTAATGGAGAATTTTCAAGAAAGTAATGTTCAGTGCAATGACCACCCCTACCCTGGTCTCCCTATGAGTCTTAAGTAAATTTACATCACTCTCTCCTGGTGCCTATGCATTCACGGGATGAAGAGCTTCCCTATAAATGCAAAATACGCAGACTCCTACCTACTGTGAGGTTTGCCATGAGTAATACGTGGGTGCTGTTTACACACCTAGATTCCTTCAAGAAGGCATTTGGAGCTCTTTTTCTCATGCCTTCCAAGATTGCCACCTTCCCAATGAAATGCTGTTCTCAACATAAAAAGAAAGATCAGGGTTTCTTAGGTGCTGCTACATGTTTGATGTCCCATATTTTCCCTTTTATACCCATTTCCTAGGAGGTTGTAGCATGCTTTGAGGTGGGAAACAAGGAAATGTGAAGATGAAGCTCTTTGTTAATTATTATGAGGATCTTGATCCTCAACTTCCTCATTCTAAGCCTAATCAAAAAGTACTCAGTGTTTTTTGGACTCACATAACAGCTAAGTTACTTTTCTCTGACTTCTAGAATACCCAACAGCAGAGCCCTCAGAGTGTTCATACATGGAAGAGTTATACACGTGATTAAAATTTCGTATTTCAAGTCTGTATTAAAGTTTTACTATGCCGTTTATAGAAAGTAAAACTTCATTTTGGTAAATTTTGTCTGGTGATGATATGTTGAAAGTACAGCTGTGCCTGCTGAGGTACATTCCCAATGGAGCACATATCAGATTCCCAAGGTGGAGAAGGGTAGACATGGGAGTTTTAGGAATATTCAAAGAAAGCAAAAGTAAAACAAATGCATTGTGAAATACTGTCAACTGAAATTGATGCTGACATTTTGAGTGTCAGTCCGTGATGTTGCATAGAGAATATAGCCATGGCAATCCTGTTTATACAGGCAGTACACTTACTGTGAGCCCACGGGGAGTAAGTGGAAAGGGTGTGCGTTTTGTGCAAGTTTTTTTGTCCTTTTTACAAATCTCCTTTTTCTTTATCTTTAAAATTGATTGTTGCGGGCCGGCCCGGTGGCGCACTGGATAGTGCGCCGCTTGGGAAGCGCGGCGGCGCTCCCGTCCAAGGGTTCGGATCCCATATACAGACCGGCTCCCGCTCACTGGCTGAGCGAGGTGCGGGTGCAACACCGAGGCTTGCGATCCCGTTGCCGGTCCCCGGTCCGGTACGGGGGCAACACTGAGGGTTGCGATCCGTTGCCGGACACGGAAAAAAGACAAAAGACAAAAAAAAAAAAAAAAATTGATTGTTGCAAGATTGGATTTAAGTAATACTGTATATACATGGTACTTCACACAGAGGAGGTGTTAAGAACATTGATTCTTGTTGTACAGAACTCCGCATGGAGGCAGTTCAGAGGCTCTGCTCAGGACCCTGGTGCTTGGACCCACCCCTCCTCCTGAAGCTACCTTTCTGGTTGTCCCGTGGTTACATTTTACTTTCAGCACATTTACCAGAGGGATGTGAGCCAAATAAGTTGTTCCAGTTATAGCTACTGGGAATCCATGAGTCAGAGACTTGTTCAGCCAGTTTTGTTTATGATAGTAAGTGGGTACGGCTTCCAAAGAACCTTATCTACTCTGATCAGGAGAGCCTACTATATATATGTATAGAATCAAATGCCGTCTGATTTTGTTCCGTAGACTTTTGGCTTGGAACGTCTTGAGAGCTAAGATTCTGTGATCCAGAACTCAGTTTCAGTCCCGGTCTCCTGGAAGAGAAGAGGGCCCTCCATACACTTAATTTTGTAGGATATAGCGGGGAAATTGAGTCACAGACCCATTGGTGGGAAGAAAACAGGGTGGGCAGAATCACATTGATCTGGTCTCTGGATTTGGCACAGATACCAGGAGGTCAGAAGACTGAAAGGGGCCTTACTCGATCGCGCTCTTTCTCTGCTGGACGAAACGATACACAATCTGGTAAGTTCTAACAGGGAGAAGGGAATGCTAATACCTCTTCAAGATCCTGATTTTAATTATTTTGGATAAGTACCCAGAAGTGGGATTGCTGGGTGATATGATAGTTCTATTTTTAATTTTTTGAGAAACCTCCATATTGTTTTTCATAGTGGCTGCACCATTTTGCATTTCTACTAATGGTGTGCAAGTATTCTAATTTTTCCACATCTTCATCAACACTTGTTACCTTTTTTTTTTTTGATATTGGCCTTCATGACAGGTGAGTGGTGATATCTCGTTGTGGTTTTGATTTGCATTGTCCTAATGATTAGTGACATTGAGCATCTTTTTATGTATTTGTTGGCCAATTGCATTTCTCATTTGGAAAAATTTCTCTTCGAGTCTTTAACCCATTTTAAAATAAGGTCATTATTATTATTTTTTGCTATTGAGTTGTAGATTTCCTCTTATATTTTAGAATTTAAACCCTCCTCTCATAAATGGTTTGTAAATATTTTTTCCCATTCTGTAATGTTGTGGTTTAAATGTCTCTTCAACTTCATGTTGGAGTTTAATCCTCAATATGATATTTGAAAGGTGGGGCCTTTGAGAGGTGATTAGATCATGAGGGCCCTGCCTTAATGAATGGATTAAACCATTAATGGATTAATGGATTATCATGGGTGTGGACTGGTGTCTTTACAAGGAGATCATATGAATGTGTTCTTGCTCAGCTCTTCCATGTAAAATCCTGTGTCATCACAGGACTCTGTAGAGAGTCCCCACCAAGGAGAAGTCCCTTACCAGAAGTGCACCTCAACCTTGGACTTCCTGTCCTCAAAAACTGTGAGAAATAAGCTCCATTTCTTTATAAATCACCCAGTTTCAGGTATTTTGTTATCAACAACAGAAAAAGGACTAATACAGGAAATAGATACCAGGAGTGGGGTATGGTTATAACAAATACCAGAAAATGTGGAAGTGGCTTTGGAATTGGATAATGGGAAGATGCTAGAAGAATTTGAAGGAGCAGGCTAGAAAAAGCCTAGATTTTGGTGAGGGCTTAGAAGACAAGAAAACTAGGGAGAGTTTGGAACTTTTTAGAGATTGGTTAAATGGTGGTTACCAGAATACTGATAGAAATATGAACTGTAAAGGCCATTCTGAGAGGTCTCAGATAAAAATGAGGATGAGCTTATTGAAAATTGGAGCAAAGGTCACTCTTACTAAAAATCGGCAAAGAACTTGGTAGAATGGTGTACATGTCTAAGGACCTTATGAAATGTGGAACTTCAGAGTAATGAACTAGGGTATTTGGCAAAAGAAATATATAAGCAGCAAAGCATTCAGGCTATTGTGTGGATACTTTTAACTACACACGATGAAATGAGAGAATAAAAGGATGACTTAAAGATAGACTTTATAATTAGAAGAGAAGTAGAGCATAAAAATTTGCAAAATTCATAGCACATCCATGTGAGGAGGAAAAAGGCATGTTCAGGAGAGAGTGCCAGTGTTGCTTTGAAGTGACCACTGGTTGCTAAATTAAGATTAACACTGATCCAGATGCTATGCAAGAATAGAACAGAAGAAAGACCCCAAAGGCGTATTTGAGGCTGCCCCTGTCATGACAGGCCAGGAGGCTTAGCAAGGCAGAATGGTTTTGAGGG